CCCCCCCCCCCCCCTCGCCAAAGTCCATATTTTATAGGCAATAATGCCGACCGAACCAGCATGCATCTGTGGTTGTTTTAAGTGATATGACAGCAGGTAGCATCCATTGTTCCTTTACGTTATGTTCCCTCCAGAGTCTTTTGTTGAGCATTTCATTCAGTATTTTAGTATGAGGAAAGGTAAGACTGGACAGGTTGTATTTGTTCAGCATGTAAAGGGAGCCGTTGGTTTCATCTGCTTGTCCCTTATTCACCACACCTTTTCATTTTAGCTGTGATTTCTGTGCAATTGTGATCCACAGCCTTTAGGGAGCTGACACAGCCGAGCTCCACCTGTTGATTTGCCACATGTCATCATTTGAATCGTTTTCAAATTCGTTTTCTTTTATTCTTTTACCATATTAGCTCATTACTGTGGTTTCCCGTCTTTGGTGTATTGTTGGTGCTTTACATCCTCCGTCTCCCAAACGGCATAGCTGCAATGTATGCCTGTTTTTTTCTTTTTGTGTTTTTACTTTCGGTGGTTGGAGATTTCACTCTGGTGATCTTTTCAGCTCATTAATTTACGGTATATGGCTTTATATGCAAATGTGTCCAAAGGAAACAGTAACTCTCTCTGTGTGGTTACAAAAGTAAGAAAAGTATCAGTTGCTTTTTTTCCATTCAGGTAAGTTACAGCGGCCACCTTCACTTTATGACAAGTCTCACTCACCTTCTTCCTTTACCTTCTTTTCCCATTTCCTGTTTAGATCGATACGGTTTAATTCACCAAGCAAGGATCTCGGCGTCAGTCAACGCCATGAGGGTCCTAAACACTGGCACAGAGGTGGAGGCAGCCGTTGCTGATGCTCTGGTAAGCTGCTGTGGAATGTTGTCTTCCGGAAAGAAATATTTGAATTAGTATGTTGTTCATGAGTAGGGGTTGTAAAACAAGCAGTAGGCCAAATGTTAATGCAAACATTTTATATGGAACTATAAAGGTGCACTCAGTATTGCAGATCTCCGCCAGGTGTTTCTGCAACGACCAATGCTGTATTGTGTGATTGAATTAATACACCACTGCTGTAAAGCGCTGCAACAGACATCATTCAAACTCAGAAACAAGCAGCAATGTAACGTGATACAAGCAATGGTCTCAAAGTCGTTCATTACACTTCATACAATCGTGCCAAAACACAAAGGTATAAATAAATGAATAAAAGTGATCCAAAGAGCAGAGGCAGAGGGGTACTCAGCAGTGAGTTTGGTTAGCTGTTAGCTGTTAGCAGTTAGCTAAACACACATAAAAAAACAATAAAAGGGAGCCACAGAGCAGCGGCTGAGAGGTAGTCAGCAGTGACAAATTTCCCCTTACCGGGATGAATATAGTATAATAATAATAATAATAATAATAATAAAACATTGCTTTGTATTTGGTATTATGAGTGGCTTAAAAACACTGCAGAAACGCTCTGAGACCACATTAGTGGAGGTGATTTTATTCACATTATCATATCATATTGCTTAAAGTAGCCTCTTTATTGAGAATATTTCAATCATTTAGAAATATCAGTTGAAATGTCTTGTGTTGTCCTCTCAGAAGGACTTGTTCTTTGTTTCCTCCTTAAACCTTTCCTCTCTCATGTTTCCCTCTTGGTTGTTTTTTTACCATTTCAGCTATTAGGAGACTCCAGGAATAAGGTAGTTGGTCATTTTACACACTGTCCGTACATCCATGCCACCACGCACTGATCAAGATCAGAGAACAATAACGCAGCCTGACTCATATTGGCTCATGACACTCCTCCACCCCAAACCCCCTTTTATTTATTTTGTGATTGAATTATTTCACCTTGACTGTTTTTGTCCAACGCATCCCAGTAGTGTGCGTCTACAGTATGGCACCCTGCACATTTATTTTACATTGTGATTACATATCTCATGGATCTACCAGACTGCATTGCATTTGTAGTCAAGATTCTTTGCTTAATTACGGCACTGCTTTACTGGCGTTTGATGTTTTTGATTTGACCCTTGTGCATCACGAGGGACATTTTTAGCTTTTTAATTTTTCAGTCATTTATGGCTTTATTAATGCACATGGCATATTTTTTGGCAAGAATGTGAGTTGTGTTTCTTATATTTTGGAAGTTCAAATAAAATTGAAAATGAATGTCTATTTGGCACTTATGATCAGGACTGAAGTTGTTAAAACAATTAAACAGTTAAAGTAGAAAAATAATCTCAATATATAGTATTTTTATAGCAGTTTTAGAAGGTGACATTTAGTACCAATTGGCAGTTGTTTGTTTTTATCCGAGACGGCACAAAAAATAAAAATGCATCAAATTCAATGTTGTTGCTAATCATTGGCATATACCAAAATCCCCCGAGCATTTAATATACAGAATAATGTGTCTGTCCCCCATACAGACAACAGTGGCATTATGTAAAAGTTAAAATTCTGAAAAGGAATAAATATTGATAGTTATCAGGGCTGATGTTTGTTAATAGATTTAACTTAAAAATAATATTAATATAAAATTTTTATCCTATAAGGACATCAGAGCAACTTTTTAAGTGAGGCACAAGGTTTAAAACAAAACAAAACAGTGTGTATGTCTCAAATTAACCCTTAAACTGAAACGTAACAGTCACACAACATGAAATGTAAAGAAAGCTGCATGACGCAACTGGTGACCTTGTATCCCAATATTTTTATTTCATGGCTGATTTTATTTGCCTCAGCACCTTTTCTGCAGAGCATGGTTAACCTTTAGGAGCCATACTGTGTGTTTCCTTCATGTTCTCCTCTCTACCACAGAGGAAGCCGTTGAGGCGGAGGTACGAGTCCCCGGGCATGTACTCTGACGACGACGCCAACAGCGACGCGTCCAGTGCCTGCTCAGAGCGCTCATATGGCTCGAGGAACGGAGGCATCCCCCATTACCTGCGGCAGACGGAGGACGTGGCGGAGGTCCTGAACCACTGCGCCAGCTCCAACTGGTCCGAGAGGAAGGAGGGCTTGCTGGGCCTGCAGAACCTCTTCAAGAGCCAAAGAATACTGAGGTGGGATTGGGCTCGTGTATTTTGGCTGAGGTGTCAAACAGTGCCAGAGTGAGAATGTGAGCTTTTGTACCATGTCCAGCTCCCTCAAGTGTGACCAAAGGCTCTGTGTGTCATCTGCTTAACAGTAAAGGGAAATGTTTATGTGTAAGAGCTACAATAATAGAGAGCCATGCAGGCAACAAAATCAGGATTTTCAGTTACTCTTTACAGGAGGTAAACACACGGTTGATTCTCAGTATGGCCAAAATAGAAAATTGGTGGCGATAGGTAAGAGTCTCTCGACTGTAAGGCGTCACTTCCTTCCATCACACATGACATGACAGAGGCATGAACATACTGTGTGCCCAGATGATTTGCTCCCTACGGGTCCATCCCAACACCCACACCTGCCTGCGTGAGGTATTTCTGCTAATTGCTACAGTGCCCAAGAACCTGTTAAGCTGAAGACACAAATACTGTACATGGCTCAGTCCAGCTCAGATGGTTTGTTGAAAAGTAGAGTCAAGCATGTAGTATTACGGCTACAATCAGATGATGCACATTCAGAGAGGAGGGATAGAATGAATGCAGACATTAAACTGATTTATCCAGAAGCAGGCAGGTCTACTGCACCTACAAGTGACAGAATATGATATTATTTAGAATGCTTTCTGTCTAGTAAAATATTTAAGGATTGAACATACTGTATGTGTGTTGACACTGACAGTGTAAGATATGTGGTTATTCTCATCAGTCCCGTCAAGAAGGAAGGGCTGACGTGAGGGTTTTATGATCATCCCAGCTTTGATGTACAGTCAATAGTAAATAGTAGCACCTGCCTAAGCTCTGTAGACTCAGCTGAATGTGAAGCATTTTGGCGAGCCGGCTCTACTTTACTCACCTCCTGGTGTCTTTGTTCCCTGCAGCCGAGTGGAGCTGAAGAGACTTTGTGAGATCTTCACGAGGATGTTTGCAGATCCACATAGCAAGGTAAAGAAGATGACTTGTACTAACTGAAGCACCACAACTAATTCTGACTTTAGTGTAAGGCATGGTATTCGAAATACAGCAATACTTGATGGAGCTGTGACTTACTTGAAACTAACGAAGTGTCTCATGTTGCATGGCCTGTCCTGCTGTGGATCTAACAACAGAGAGTAAGTGTGTATTTTTATCCGTATTGCTACAGGAATTAACATGAATCAAATCAAGCAGTGTTGTGTAATATATGTTGAAATCTGTCCTCAGGTGTTCAGCATGTTCCTGGAGACTCTTGTGGACTTCATCACAGTGCACAGAGAAGACCTGCAGGACTGGCTTTTTGTCCTGCTCACTCAGCTGCTGAAGAAGATGGGGGCAGATCTGCTGGGCTCAGTCCAGGCCAAAGTCCAGAAGGCTCTGGATGTCACAAGGTCTGACACGCTGTCCAGGTCACGGGGGGGTCAACCTTATCATTGAACAGTCGAGCTTGTTCATTAATGTTCCAACATAGGATACACAGTCTGATAGCGTGGACAAAGTTAACTCCTCACCCCCATCTGTTCCTCAGGGAGTCCTTCCCATTTGACCAGCAGTTCAACATTCTGATGAGGTTTATCGTGGATCAGACTCAGACACCTAATCTGAAGGTAAAGTCAAATTAGCCTGATTCCATTCACGGGCAAGACGTTTCTTTGATTGGTTGGTGTGATGCAGCTTTGTGACTGTTTGTCGTCTCTCTAGGTTAAGGTGGCCATCCTGAAGTACATTGAGTCTCTGGCTCGGCAGATGGACCCGACAGACTTTGTCAACTCCAGCGAGACGCGCCTGGCCGTGTCTCGCATCATCACCTGGACCACTGAACCCAAAAGTTCTGATGTCAGGAAGGTAGGCCATGATTGGTTTGTCCTGTTGTTCAGCACTGACGATGGAAATCGCTTTGCTCAGAAAAACAACCCTTTTCCTCCAGAATAATGCTTGGCTCTTTCTTTACTCCTTTTTCTTTAATTCATATATTGTTGTTATTTTAAGCATATGTTCATGTTTTTAACTTTATCCTTTTTATTCTTCATCATCACAGTTCTAAACCGAGGACATTTAAGGCCCACAATGAATGAAAAGAGGACACTTTAGACTCTTTTATAAGTTGTATTTTATGCCTTAACACCAAGTGTATGGATATAATCTACATACTAAACTACTGTAATTAAATTACAAGTGAGTGATGGAGCTTAATGCAAAACTAATTGCTTGGAGACTTGTTCAGTATGAAGTCACACGACGGAGTGTGAAATGAGACGCACGTTGTTAATTGATTTATTAGCAGAGCAGATCCATCACCCAGGAGGATACGTCTTTCCCTCGACAAATGATCAGAGGATACACTGGACAGCCAGTGGCTTCTTGTAGACCTCCGCATTTTTTAAAATTCCTCAGCCTTTAGTATTTGTTTAGCAACAGTTGTTCACTTTGATGATAGACAGCCTCCTGGTTGGATGGTCTTTGGCCCATTATCGCCCGCTTGTCTGATGTGCGCCATATCTCCTCCCTCCGTGTGCCCTTCTGTTTGTCTTTTCACTGCTGTTCTTCCAAATGACGTCCTCACCTAGTTTCGAATCAGGGCCTGAGCTCCAGGCACCGTGAATGTATGATGAAGGAGAGAGTAGTTGTGTTTTCATGACTCCACATACAGTACATCCATTATCTGAGAGGTTTGATCTACACTGTGTTGTTGGTACCGAAGCCATGAGAGGCAAGTGACTTTTTGTCTTCTGGTGATCCATTTTCTGTGATCTAAATTGTTTCCGCTCCTGTGTTTATTAGTTAAGAGCAGGTGCGGAAAACAGTTGTATAACTTTAGTTACTTTCGTTTTTTTCATCTCTGAAAAAAAGTTCCTTAAAATAGTTTTTCAAATATGAAAGAGGTGGTGGAAATAAGTTTTGCAAGGTGAACATTGTTTTTACAAAAAATATTTTTGCGATCATTTTGCATCTGGCAAACCGGGTTTTGGCAAGTGTTTTGTTGTTGTTGTCAGGCTCATGTTTGTTGCTGTAATACTCGTTTTGTCCACAAGAGGCTGAAGTGCACAACTACCCGTTGCATTCAGGCTTTCTTCTTGGTGAGTTTTAATCTCTCCATGCACTTTAGACACAAGGTACATTGTTACTTATTGTTAATGTGTGTTTGCAAGTTATGTAAATCAAAACTCACCTGACAGAAAATAGGAAGGATTTCAGTCCTATTTTTTAATTGAATAAATAAGTATTATAACAACAAATCCTATTTTTTCTTTTTCTGGCAAAACTTAAAACACTTGTTTCACAGATAACAAAACAATTTGAAAGAAGATTATTCTTCAAAACCTTTTTCCAACTGTTACTTATAAAAACAAGAAAGCAATTTGGATCAGTTTTCTTGTATTGCCTCTCATGGCTTCATTAGCTTTGTGCTAGGCTAGGTTGTCATGAAAGATTGGTTCAGAGTTGCATCCGTATGTGATGGTGGAGGACCTGTGTCATGCTGTAATGCCCGTTCTGCCTTGCCACTGTGCCCCAGACCCTTCATAACTGGGTGAGCGAGGAGCTAGCTGGCAGGTCCAGTACTGCGGCCTCACTGTCCGCTGAGGGCAACCAGGAAGAAAGGTGTAAGCAGGTAGAGCCCTCTCCAACAGCCAATCACAACACCACACGATAAGCACGCAATGCCCCGCCTGCCCGGTGCCTAACCAACACCTCTGAGACAGTGGAGACTCGAGTGTGGCATCTGTCACTCACCCCTACCATTTACGCTCCTGCTGTTTTTGCTGTAACAACCTAAACATCACTTTGTGCCTTGCAGATTGATCACTCACCAAGTAGATTAAGCTTGTTGTGCAACCACAAAAGACCTTGAGACCTTTATCGTTGGTATTTTTTTAAAGTGACAGGAAACGCTTGTTGCTTTGTCTGAATGGACATTTAAGCTAACTTTATTGCTCAACCTTCAGAGGAATCCTGTACTGTTACTACTGTGTGCCTAACACATTTTGTTTGTCTGACTCACCTTAACAAACTCTCATGCACCTGCATACCTGCATGTTGTTAACATTTCATTCTTGTACAAAAAAGGTTCCAAAGATGTATTTCAACTAGTTCAGCTCAGGCTCATTATAATGGTATATGATATCTGTATGTAGAGTAGAAGTAACAGTATTCAAAAGTTATGATTACACCAAATTATGTTGTGCTCATTTGCTTTTGTCCAAAGCAACATACAAGATATATTCAAACTTAAAAGAGCTATCATCAAAAATCTGAAGTGCAGCCCCACTACGGTGTATAAGGGCCATTGGAGGTAAAAAAAAAAAAAAAAAAAGAAGCCAGTGATGGGGGCTAATATTTCAAGGAAAAAACGAATCATTTCCAAGATTAGAGTCTTAAATTTACAAGTCAAAACGTATATTCTTTGAGATCAAAATGGCAAATTTACTTTAATCTTGGTGATTTTTCTCTGAATATTAACCCTCAACTCTGTAATTACTATTTACTACACACAGCCCTAATAAGCCGTCGAACATTCTCTCAAACAAACAACTGAGAATTGAGTTCATTACTGTAGTACAAGTGCTGAGGGTTTGGCCTTGGCATGAATACAGAGAACCACTTCAATTAATTTTGTGTTGCCCTCAGAGGGTTTTACAATCTGTACACATAGACATCCTCTGACCTTTGACCCTCACACCCTTTGACTCCCAAAAACCCTTTAACGGGGAGAAAAGAGGGAGAGACCTGAGAGAGAGCAACAGAGGAGGATCCTCTATTAGGATGGACAGAAGTGTGATAGATGCCATGTGTACAGAATGAACAACGTAACAGAGTTACAACACATTTAATGCATATGACATAAATGATTCATATGATGAGAGTAGTGAGCAGAACAATGATGGAAAGCAGCAGCAGTGGATACAGTAGAATAGTAATGACAATAAAACCAGTAATGGTATCGTAATAGAAATAGAAATGTGACTACTAATAATAAAATGTTAAGATCCGATTGTTAGTCAATCCATCTCTTAACACATTATTTTTGGAGTCACACCATCACGCTGAGATGTGAGATTTTGTCTCATAATCATCACAACTTGTTTTTTCTGACATGTGGTGACTGATGTAAGAAATACAAAACAAGCCTAAACAGCTAAGGGTGAGGAAGTTATTGTAGCCATGGTGACAACAATGTTTAAAAGAGTTAAAAAATTTGGGCATTTCTGTCTTCAAACAGAACGTCTTCTGATGAACCGGACCACCTTTTGTAGCGTTAAAGTCCCCCAGCAACAAATGCAAACAAGTGTTTTCTACAGCCCCCTTCACGTTTGATCTGTACTCACTTGCATGTTGCAACATTGATATAGTAACATTATCTCTGAATCGTTGCATTCCTCGTTAGCTCTCCACTGAATGCAGCTTTAAACTCTCACCTTTTCACCGTTTCTTTCCACAGGCTAATGCATATGTGAGTCTGCACTGAGAAGATGAAAAGTTGCTTTCCATGGTTTCATAATTGTTTGGTACCTTTATTAACGTTAGCCTTTGCCTCAGATTGGTCTTTACAGCTGCGAAGCATCTGAAAAATTGTCAAATATTACAAAATGTATAATTCAGTCACAACTTCTACTAACTGTCCTTTTATAAAATAATTTAAAAATGTTGCTCCGGCTCCATTAAACCAAACAAATGGTCAAGCTACTTGTGGAACCAAAGAAACCATCTGAGCCACCGAAGCTGTTGTGTCCTCCATCCTAACCCGTTGCGTTCCACTGCCTCCAGGCGGCCCAGGTGGTACTGATTTCTTTGTTTGAGCTCAACACCCCGGAGTTCACCATGCTGCTGGGAGCTCTCCCCAAGACCTTCCAGGACGGCGCCACCAAACTGCTGCACAACCACCTGAAGAACTCCAGCAACACCAGCAGCGGTGTGGTAAGTCAAACGAAACGCTGGAGTATTTGATGGCATTCCACACAGAAGCCCCGCTCAGAGGATGTGGTACAAGTACTGATGTACTTGTGTACCAATGACCAAACTGTAGTAAACACCATGCTAGGTGCACGTAGATCAGTGGAACCATTAGACAGCAGGTTTGCCACATTCAGATTTCATCATGGTTTCCTTGTCTTCCAGGGTTCTCCTAGCAACACCATTGGCCGGACACCGACACGCCACACCCCCAGCAGAACCAGCCCCCTCACCTCTCCGACAAACTGTTCCCACGGAGGACTGTCTCCAAGGTAGCCCATCACCCATCTGTTATTAACTATTATCTACAACACACCTCCCGTCCTAATCATAGACTCTATTTAAAGATGGACGGCGCCTTTCCACTTCCTCCCACTGTACAAAAGTCAACCCACAACATCCTGAATTCTGGCACTGCCGTCTTGCGGTGTTGACTTCATTTGGAGTCTGCGCAGTGGTGATGGGGGGGATGGAGGTCCCGCCCATACACCGCCCGGTCAATCGCGAGCCCAGCCCGGCCACAGCTTGCTAGTGTGAGCCACTACCTCAGTTCTGCTGTACTGAACTGACGTTAGCCGTTTGGCTAGAAACAACAACAACTAACCATGAAATCTTTATCAATACATTTATGATAAAATTGACTCATGATTCATGTTCCAGAAACGTCATCTGCGTGTGAACATGATCACACACCGTACTAAGCTTACCAAGTCAGTGGAAATGTTGCTAAGCTAGCTAGCGACACGCTCAGGGACAATATGAAACATAGACTGTATATACAGATCTTTATATTATGTCTACGTTTGATGCAGACAATCCCGGTGATGGAAAGTTAAAGCTACATCTCCTCTCCACGTTCCTACTCTACTTACACTTCCCAAGCCTCCGGCTCTGCGTCAACTACTTCACTCACCAAGTGGACCAGCTATCAATCATGATGTCACACCCCCTTTTTATAGCATCAAATAACAACCAAAAGTGATTTTCCTCCTATGGGAAAATGTATTTGACAACTTTTTAGTTTGTCCCATCCGCTAACAGGGAGAGGGATTTATTAGCTAAAGTGCGGCCTGCCACAAGGGGGGTGATGGAGATGTCTTGGCTTCCCTTTTGGGGGAGCTGTCACATCGTCCATCTTTATTTTCAGTCGATGGTCCTAATGCATGGCTTTGCATGGCTAAACATGCGGATGCTGCTGTCCTGATCTGTCATCTGTGGTTGAACTAACAGGTGGGTTGGTAGGAGCATGATACTGTGTGAGTTTCTCAGAGAGGTTAGAACTT